CTTTGATGGTTTCACCCGGGATGGCGCTGTTAACGCCGGGAGGGCCGTTGACATGTCCGAGATCACCGAGTAAGCCCTAGAGAAGGGCCAAGGCAGCAATTTTGGAGGCGGTACAAGAGTTCTGGATTTGTGGTGACGGGGCATCTGCGTACGCCAGAAGGACTCGTTAAGGTGCTTCGAAGATGGACACGCTACCTTTGTGGATGCAGCCAGCTCCTCTTCCTTTCTCTTTCACTCCATCTACAGCTACCACTACTACTGCACCTACGCCTAAGCCTAAGCCTACGTCTACTTCTTCCTCCCCAACGCAATCAAGCGTCCCTGACCGTCAACAACAAAAACCTTCCCATCGCCAAACACAGGTCGTCCAAACTTCACCGCACCCTCCACCTTCGGCAGCGGCAGCTCAACCAACGTCCCGTTGACCGGCACGGCCTTGAACGCTCTCAGTCCAGCCTGCACATCCGTGGCCCACACGATACCTGTGCCAGGCTGACCTTTGTTGCTCGTGACAGTCGGGAGACCAGCACCACCCCAGTGTCCGTTCATGTCGGAGGACTTGCCAGCGAAGCTGAAGAGCGAGGACGATGCGTTCGGAGTAAATGCGTACGCGGATAGAGCGGTGTTGCCAGGGTTGACGTAGATATAACCGCCTTCTAGCGGATAAGATCCAATCGCACCAAAGACCTCGCCTTCTAAAAGAATGGTCTGCAGGATTCCATCCGTACCGTTTATACCTTGCAGATACCCACCCAAGCTGTCAACTTCCGTCACATACATCTTTGGATTCGTAGAGGTTGCTATACCGATCCTCTTTCCATCATTAGTCGTGAACGCATCGCCATCGAGGACGGCAAACCCCCCACTTCCAATATCCTGTCCAGAGTCCGTCTGCCAGTCCGACGGGCGGAAGAAATCAACAAGTTGAATTCCAGCACCACCCGTCTCATCAAGTGTAATACGCGCCACGGTTTCCGAAAGAACATCCAAAGACTCGTGACCCTTCCTTGGTGTGACATCAAGCGTTGCAGCCGTCGACCCGCCGCCATTATCAATCGTGAAGAACACGTCTTTGCCGTCCGACGAGAGACCCGCGCCAGCCTGCCAGATGCCACCCGCGCCACCACCATGCCAGGCCGTCCAGTCGTCGTTATACAGACTCGCATTTCCTGCTTGCGTAGTCCAAGTATACACATTCTGCGTCGCGAGATTAACAGCGACAACACTTCCGGTGTAGTTGAACGCGTCGCACAGCCCGCCGAACCCCGCATACAGCACATCGCCCAGCAACAGCAGCGCAGGCCGCTGCAACACCAAACCACCGAGAAACGTCTTGCGCATATCGTTATCGGAAGGCTGGCCATCGATAATCATGGGGTATTTGTATAGATCCTGTAGCGTGTCCAGATACACGCCGTAGAGATAGTAAACGGAATTCAAAGGCGGGTAAGCGCCACCTGGTTGTCTGTAGTCCTCGATGTAGCTTTTGACATAGAAGAATGCGATTTCGTTGCCGTCTTCACGGTAGATGACTGGCGTGCCCATTATGCCGAGTGTTTTGCTGACGTGCGTCGTGCAGTAGGCTTGATCCATTGGCCATGGTGGAGCGACCTGGCGCTCGTTGATTAGCTGCCCATTCTCTGCGTCGAAGGTTCTGATGCGATTCTCGGTGGACGCGGTGAACACGATTTGGCGGCCGGTGGAGGAGAGAGTGTGAACGAGAGGGCGCGCCCAATGCTGTGGTTGTGTTAATGACGGGTCAGAGGTGAGGTGCAGTGATGGCAATTTACTTTCTCGTCCGTGTTGAAAGTTGCATTCCAGAGCTGTGTAGAAGTTGAGAGGTCTGAGGGGTCGATGTGGTGCTCGCCGCCAAGATAGGAGGACTGGTAGATGTCGGAGTCTTGGGGCGAGTCGGACGGTGAGCCTGTTCTTTGCGCCGTCGCAAACGTTACAGCGCTAGCTATAGAGACGCAGAGCGCAATTTTGCACGTTAGTGAGCGCATCTTTGCCGTCGATACAAAGGATAACGAAATGTCGCGCGCATAATGCGGACGCTGCAAGACTTATGAATAGGATGTATGAAGATCGCTGGGCCTCGCGGAAAACAGATTGCATGCAGCTATGACGATAGTATCTGGGGAATTTGATCGCTTTCAATCTAATGGTCGTGGCTCGTGGTCGGTACTTGGATCACGTAGATGCCGGGTATTCTCCGCAACTGGGTTGGCTATATCGTCTATATTAGTTTGTGGGGCAGAACGTCGAGCATCAACTGGGAACATCATGTAGATCATCGTGTTGATCTTTTTGGAAATTCTGTTGAAGAAAAATTAGATGTTCATTCTGATGCTAGTTGATATGATAACTGTTGATGGTGACGTCAGCGCAGCCCTGAATAAAGTTGACCTGCATAACTTACCTTTTGCGCCGCTTTTACTATGCCGCAAGGGGTTCCTCGAAACCCCCTCGTCATAGAAGGCTGGGCTGCCTTTCTCTATTGTTCCCGTTGCGGGCTGGGCTGTCTAGACTGTTCCACGCTAGGAACTTGGTCTTCCACCCGCTGCAACAGCGGTACGCGTTCCGCTTCTACGGCATCACCTCCCTCAGCATCGGGATAGTACATCTTCTTCCACTCGCCCTTACCCACTTTGCCAACCCTCCATGTTCCTTGCTCACCCGCCTCTTTGAAGAAGTCCATGTTCTCGTCGAATGTCCTGCCACCAGTCTCCGGGAGATAGAAGTACGTCCATAGTCCAGCGAAAGCATTGGTTGCAGCGAAGACGACAAAAATCCAGTAGTCGAGGTTGTTGAACAGGACGGGCGTGAGGAAGGTAATGGCGAAGTTGGCAAAGCCCCAAATGATGACGGAGATAGCGGTGCCTTGGGCGCGAGCGGTGGTCGGGAAGACCTCAGTGGGGAACAACCACACGGTTGAGAGCCAGCCGATTCCGAAAGCGCCGGTGGCGACGAACAAAATTACGGTTCCAATGATTCCGGGGACGATAATGGGAATGTTCATGGGCTCAGAGTTTGCTGCTAAGCCACCGAAAACACCGAGAAGTGCGAAAGAAGTGGCAAGGATGACAGAACTGTGAATCATAATCTTGCGTCGGCCCATAGCATCGATCAAGAGCCAAGCGAGCGTCATGAGGAAGAAGTAGGACACGTAGTTGCCAAGGGTGAGGTATTCAGAGTTGCGGACTGAGAAGCCTAGGAGCTGTTTTCACATGTTAGTATTGAGCCAAACCGCACCACTCTGATCATAGACACAACTTACCTCAAAGATCTGCGGCCCGTACACACTAACTGCACCGTAACCCGTAAGCGCCTGGTTGACCTGGCACATCACTGTGACCATAGTAGGATGGAACTGCTCGTGGCCGGGGGTGAGCATATCCATGTACCCAACCTTGATATCCTTCTCCTTCTCGTGCTGTTCAAGTAGCTCATCAAGCTTCTCCTTGCCCTCATCTCCATAGATGTCGTCCAATGCCTTCTTCGCATCCTCCTGGCGATCATGGAAGATGAACCAACGCGGTGATTCCGGAAGGCGTTCAACAAATGCCATCAACAGAACGGGGTAGACCTGCATGACAATGATAGGAACGCGCCACGCCCACTGATTTTGCTTTCCAAGGAGGATGGTAACAAGCAAATTGATACCAAAGGCCATTACGAGACCGAAGATGTTGGACTGGAATTCCTGGGCCAGCGCTTTGCCACGAGAGTCGTCGGCGCTCAACTCGGAGGAGTAGGTGGGAATGACTGCGTCGATTCCTCCAACGCCCAATCCCATCACCACGCGTCCAGCAAGCATAACGCCCAATGCGATCTCCGTGCTCTTTCCCAACATGCCCATTCCAGCCACGAACATGATCAGATTTCCCAGACTAGCTGTTGCCAGACTGGCAAAGATGCTCTTCTTCCTTCCCAACTTATCAGCGAGCATGGAGAAGAGCACAGCGCCGACAGCGCAGCCGAGGTAGTAAACCGCTACGATCACACCCACGACTGGTGACTCCTCCTGGAGGCCCATGGTGGATAGGTAGTCATAATTCGTGTTGATGAGGGACATCATTCCCTGGTCATACCCGTAGAGGGCAATGGCCGTGGCCGAGAAAATGACGACATTGGTTTGTTTGTCGGTGACGGCCTGTTTCGCATGTTCGACAATGAACGACATCGTGGCTGTTGCCTGGATACGAAGACGAAGCTCCGCGGAAGGTTAATCTGCGAAAGTAAAAGCTCGTAGAAGGTGCACAGCAGGAAGAAGAAGCTGAGGAGGGGAGGAAAGTCTAGATCTTCAATATCCTACAAGCCACAATCCGCGGTAGACGTTTGGCGCTACTGTGCATGTTTCTTGGTCAGCTGGAAGAGGGTTGTTTTTTAACGTATGACGAGTGTATGCAGGGACGCGATGTCGATCTGAGACTAGGTGCTGGGTGAGCCCCGCCAGTTTTCCAAGGGGTCTTTTGCTCGCGACGGGCTCCTGTCGGCTCTTTGCTCTTAAACTTCATTTCTTGATTAGACTTGATAGATAGACGCGTTTTCGCGTGCCTTTCCTATAGATACCATAAAAACATGTAGCGCACCATGCAGCTTGCAGCCAAACCGTTATTGTGCAGCTGATAAGCTTCAGATCCGCGGCATAAGATCCTTAGCGCCACCAACCATTAGCGACGTCGCATTCGATCGATCGCATCCTTCTGCCTCACGACATCATCCTCAACTATTCGCTCACCGGGTCTCGAAAAGATCAGTCACCGCTTGTTCAGATATCCCATGCAACACAAGAGAAGGAACAAGGCATTGGAAGTGTCTCGTTCATTGTTATTTTCAGAAACGACGTCATGAAGAGTGGTTAGAGCCCTACTAGCGACTGCCATCTGCGCCTTGCATGCTTTTGGAGGAGTCGGCGTACCCACCAGGCGTATCCGTAAGGCCGCGCGCACCCATCGCTCTCATCTCACATCCTTCTACTCTGTTATCTCAGACTCCGCTCAAGCCTTTGCTGAAGCCTCAACCTCGAGAGTCGATGTGGAGGTCTGGGTGGCCTCCCAAGCTTCCCAAGCTTCGAATAAAGCTTGTTTTGGGACGCAGTGTGCAACACGACCGTCCGAAACGCACTTCCAACCCTTACCGCAGTCGGCAGACCACTGCCAGTAGGATCCAGACTGCTCGCAAGTGACAGTCCATTCCGTCTGAGTCACGTTCCTATAGGCGCAGTTGAACGCTCCAGGTGAGCAAGACATAGATGGAGCCAGCTCTGATGGGACTTGGAGAAGCTCGTCGCGGGCTCCAATGGTAGGCTTCGCATTCTGCCTGCAGTGGGCAGATTTCCTGTCAGCTGCTAGATCACAGGTCTGTCCCTGACCACAGTCGGATGACCACAGCCTGCAGAGGTAGAGGTACTAAGTCAGTATATGTCTCAAATAGACTTCGTAGATCCAGAACTTACCAGATTCCAGACGGAGAACAAGTGATTACCCAGCTCGTTCCTGTGGCAGAGTTGAAGGTGCAACCAAATGTTCCAGGCTCACAGGACTGAGATGGAGCGACATCCGATGGAACTTCCGATGGTTCATCACGAGCTGCAATTGCCGTATTCCACTCTGGTCCTGGGTTCCAGCAATGCGCGGCACCATTGGATAGCGCGAGACACTTCAAATCGCCACAGTTGGCAGATTGCACCCACTTGCCCCGGTAGTCGCAGGTCATGATCCAGGCGTCATCCGTTGATTCGTCGTTGTCGCAGGAATAGGTCCCAGGCATGCAAGAAGCCTCACGCTTGGCGGCTGCCAGATCCGTGTTCCACTCCGGTCCCGGGTTCCAGCAATGGGCGGCTCCATCGGATCGCTCGAGGCACTTCAAAGTACCGCAGTTCGACGAGTACTGCCACGCACCCTTGTAGTCGCAGGTCATGATCCAGGCACCCGTTGTCGCGGATTCCAGGCAGGTATAGGTTCCAGGCGAACAGGAAGGATCACGCTTGGCCAAAGCGTCCGACTCGACGACGGTGGGGGCCTGAAGACTTTTGTTAGCAATGTGCCATTGTGGGAGAGTAATGTAGTGGTCAAAGTGGAAGAAATCCGTGTCTCAGTCTGCAGTATGCATGCAACTAAATCTTAACAAGTACACACTTGCCAAGATGATGCACACTCCAACCTAGAAAGATCGGCGACACAAATTGTAGCCAACGGAGGTGAGATGGGAGCGAACTCGAGTCTGGAATTCAGATCTCTTCGAGCTCAGTGAGAATGCAGGAGAGTGCTTACATTGCCAGATGCGTCCTTGGACCGTGGAGGTGCCTCAGTGATGTCGGCGTCGTCGACGTCTCGGTCGAACATGTTGGGCTTCTTGCAGCAGTTGCACTTGTCGCGACACTTCCAGCCCCTCTTGCAGTAGTGGTCGGTTTGGCAGAAGCCATACTGGCAGACCAAGACACCAGTGCGATCCTTGGCGCACTCGTAGGTCTTCTTGTCCTCGATATGAACATCGGAATCGACGTCACGCTTCTCGGGTGCACCGGGCGAGCACTCAGCACCTCGCTCATTTGCGATGCATTTGACCAGGCAATACTCAATGGTAGCACAAGCGGCGTTGACAGGACAGGCGAGGATCCACTCGTCGTGGGTGCAGGAGTACCTGTAGCGATAAGATTACTGAATGTTCCCTGATCAACGATGGAGGTTACCTACTTGACTTCGTCATTGCTCAGGTGCATGGCTGAAGGGTCGCCAACAGCTCGATCCTCAACACTGGTATCAGTAGCTGAACCGGTACACCAAGCACCTTTGCTGTTGTCGGCGCACGCGAAGGAGCACGCCTCGACGAAAGAGCAGGTGCCCGAGCGGAGGCAAGAGAGGACATATTTGTCGCTGTCGCACTTGTATCTGTTGACAGTCAGTATACTACCCTCTAAGAATATCAGCGAAAGGCGAGGCGACTTACGTGTGAGCATCATCGTTCTCATACTTGGAAGCCGCAGCAGCGGTGGTAGTCTCTACCGGCGAGGCAGCGACGAGCGCCACCAGCCCAGCGAGGGCGACAGTGATGAGCTTCATGGAAGCGTACTTGCAGGTACTGTCGTCGTGGTTGGGTGCGATATAGAGAGTGTGGAGGGGTTGATAGTGGAGAAGGGTGGTGCGGGGAGGTGATGGAAAGAGGAAGAGAAAGGCGGGCTTATATCAACGGAGCGAGGCGAGAGAGCAGCTGCAGGCGTTTGCTATCCCGCTAGGCAAAAGCTGTTGGGAGGCGATACTCACCTGCCCAGGTGCGCTTCTCAGGGTCCGACTTGCGGAGCGTGAGTGTTCGTTGGGTGGGGCAGTGGACTGGTGAGATTGGTGAGATAGTGAAGGAGGAAGGAGCGAAGTGCACGCAATCTGTGCTCTGCACCCACCGATCGAACCACCACACTGATGAATGAGTGAAGAAGCTAAATGAAAACATGAGCGGTCGGTATGTAGGAGTTGAAGCATTGGGTATTCTAAACAGCAAAGACAATGCACGCGACGACATCCCAAGCAGCTCTGCACTATACGTCTACACTATTGAACGCAGAAGCACAATTAAAACGCATCACTTTTCCACCGAGTAATTACCTTACTGCGGCAGTTTGATGTATCGACTCTAGGTATCTTCTCACATTGCGGGACCCTACCGGGTAGCGTTGGTGCTCACAAGTCATAATAGGCGAAGGTAGCTCATACGAAGTAGCAAGACTCACGCAAACCAGGAACAAGACTGTAGTTTGAAGAAAAGGAAATGCTTTTGATTCATCATAAGGATGCAGCTAGACGTTCAAAATCTATCGGTGACGCAAATGCAGTCAATCATCCAGGCCTCTATTAAACGCCAAGCAATGCAAATCTGCATAGTCTAAGATATCATAATGCGATCGTAATCCGAAACAGTTGCAACAACATCTACTCGGCCTCGTCATCAGTGTTGGGTGGCTGAGGAGTACCCTGGTGAAATTGTTAGTAATCTGCATCGACGTGGATGGAATGGGAAAAAACATACCTTGGGGCTGTTCAACCAGTCAATGTACCTCAATCTACGCCTGACCTCACGGTCCTTGAGCTCCTTCTTGGTCATCTTCTTCTTCTTCCTCGACCTGAACTTCATATCGTCCTTGTTGCCCTCGGCGTCACTCATGACTGGAGTACCGGTGGTGGACGGCGCAGCGGAGCTCACGTTGCTGCTAACATTGCTGGATCCAGGGCGCGAGTCCTCGAAACGGTCCATGTTGACGGCAAGGTGGCCCTTGTGCGTGACGCGACCGTCGGCGACGTGCCACTGCTCGGGGCAGAGAGCACCCACGAATTCTTCGTTATGCGAGATCATGATCACACCACCCTTGTAGTCGCGGATAGCAACAGCGAGACCACCGAGAGAGTCGCGATCCAAGAAGTTGGTGGGTTCGTCCAAGACAAGAAGATGGGGGTTGTTCCACATGGCACCGGCGAGCACGACCTTGACCTTCTGTCCTCCGGAAAGGCCAGAGATCTCGTTGTGGTTCGCAATCTCAGGATCCATACCGAGATCCTCGAAATGCTTGGAGATGACCTTGGGCTCCAAGACACGGTAACCGAGACCCTCACGCGACGACTCGTGATCGTCGAACTCCTGGACAAGCTTGGAGAAGCCCTTCTCGAGAAGCGTCTCACGCGAGATCTGGGTGTTGTATTTGGGCAGCATGTGCAACCACTTGACCTCGTACTGGAAGGTCTTCTTGTACTTCGCACGACCAATGAGTGCCTCGATCCTACGGGGGCCTGAGCCGTCGCCTAGATCGATGGGAGTCTCCATCTGCTTCTTGTCTTCCTCGCTGAGCACACGTGTCTGCTTCATGAGCACCTCACGATCGTCACCGTTGGCGTAACGCCATTGGAGGTACTGGTTGGGAGTCTTCTCCATGTGCATCTCGACGTGCTCAAGAGCGTGCTGCTTGATGTAACCGATACGCAGATTGGGGTGCTTCTCGACGGTACCTTCTTGAGGGACGGTCTCGCCAGTAAGCATCTTGATGAGCGTAGATTTACCAGCACCGTTGGCACCGATGATGGCGACTCGGGATGACAGTGACAAGTTGCAAGAAGCATCGGTGAGCGATGGCTTGGAAGCGCCAGGGTAGGTGTAGGAGCAGTTTGTCATGCGCAGAATGGAGCGAGTGTTCGACTTGACACCAGTGAGGATACCAGGAGGAGGGAACTTGAATTTGACCTGGGTATCAGAGAGCGTGTAGTAGCTCTTCGCTTCCGGCTTCTGTCGAACGAAATCAGCCAGGTTGCCCTTGTAGCAGACCAGCTTCTTTTGCTCGTAGTGGTAAATGTCGGTGCAAACTTCGTCGAGGAAACCAGAGTCGTGAGAAACGATCAAGCTAGTGATCTCAGTGTGGGACTTGAGGTACTTTCCGAGCCAAGCGACATTGGCAACATCCAGATGGTTAGTGGGCTCGTCAAGGAGGAGCACGTCGGCGCGCATAAGCATAGCACGGGCCAAAGCGAGCTTCATCTTCCATCCTCCGGACAGAGAGCCGACCTTGGCGGACTGCCTGCCTTCGGGGCCAGCGGTGAAGCCGACCTCTTCGAGAACCTCGGAGATACGCTCTCGGCTCTCGTCCGCGAAGCGCGGGTCGCGAACGATGTACTCAAGAATAGAGAGATCAGCGTCTTCTCCCTGGTTGTGCTCGACGAAGCATGTCTTGACTTCATCTTGAGAAGGGAAACCTTCCAGCTTGCCGCTTGCGATACTGCGCATGAGGGTAGACTTTCCAGCACCGTTGCGACCGCAAAGACCGTAGCGGTGGCCCTTGAGCAGGCGAAGGTTGGTGTGCGAGAGGAGCAACATGCCACCGTATCCTAGTGAGAAGACAGCGTTGACGATCTCTGTCTCTCCGTCATCCTCCTTGACGGGCTGGCCGAACTTGCGGTGGTCCTCGTCCACGTAGAACTGGTGCACGGCCTCTGCGACCTTGTCGGCGTCTCCGGCGTTGAGCAAAGGCTCCAGGTAGGGGCCAACGAGCTTTGGGAGGCGCTGAAGCTCGCGCTGATCGACCACCTCAGCGATCATCTCAAAGATGTACCTCTTGGTGATAGCCAAGACCTCCGCGTCTCCAGGGAAGTCAAGGAGGTTGGCAGAAGCGGTGATCTGCTTCTCGATGACCTTCTGAACATCCGATGGTTGTGTCCTCGCGATGGCGCCGCTGTCGATGTTGTGGTCTGGGTCGGCCATGGCCTTCTCGATAACGTCGAGCGCACGCTGGCCGATCTCTCGGACTTCAGGCAGGGAAGCGCGGTCCTTGACGGACTGCACACCTGGGCGAAGCTTGGGCAAAAAGGCGCGGGCCTCGATAGGGTCGTGAACGAGCTTGGTCAAGTTCTCGACGACGACGACAGTCTGGCGGGTGACCTCCTGTGATGTGGAAGGCATGTTCAGAGAGCGCTCAAGCAGAGGTGTGACCATAGCAAGGACGGGTGATGTGACAATAGCGACGAAGGTGGTCTGGGAGAGAGCGTGGATGGCCTTCTGCAGACTTGTTGTGGAGGGGTCTTCGATGGCCTTGACGAGGAGGGGTATCCGGGGCGCGATATCGTCGTTCTGGAGGAGGGTGGTAAGGCTGTTCATCGTCTTGACAGACTGCTTTGCGACCTGCTCGTGGTTAGTACGGTGGCTGTAGAATAGCGGATGGGGGACCTTACCTCATTCTTGAGATCGTGCATGCCGGCCTCGACGATAGGGATGAGACCCTCGAGCTTCTTGCCCATGGACTCGCGGAGAACATCCTTCTCCTTCTCGACCTCGAGGCTCTCCATGCCCATCTTGGCCTTGTCGGCCATGCGGCCGATGAGTTCGTAGGCGAAAGCAGCACCCTGCCACTTTCCGGACTTCTTGCCCAGGTACTTGGTCAGCACAGGCAAGAGGCCGAAGACCTTGGCCTCAGCGCTGAGGTTCTCGAACAGCGAGTCGAGAGCGTACTTGGCCGACTCCTTGACCGAGCCAGTCTTGTCTGCCAGCAGGTCAAGGACCATGGGTACCAGCCCTTCGTTCTGGACGAGGAAGATGGCCTCTGTCAGGCGTTGTGTGCGCGGGAGGCGCTCGAAGAAGGCACCGAGGGCGTTCATGGCGCCCTCTCTCCGCACGGCATCCTTCTTGTTGGCCGCCGATTTCTTGATCTCCTCGAGTATGCCATAGCCAGTGAGGCCGCGGAAGCCTACTGAGTTCTGGAGGAGGGTCGTGAGGGCGTAGGCGGCGTCGACCGAGGCGTGCGACGTCTTTGCGGTGACGATGCTGCTGATGAAGGCGTTGACATCCTCCTGCGAGGGCGCAGGGGCTGCGCTGGCCTTGTCGACGACAATAGCGGGAGCCATAGGCGGCGACTCAGAGTGCGGCATCTGCGAAAGAAGCCGGTAGGGGTGAGTGGTGCTGCGCTGTGAATCTGCGACGAGCGATTTCTTTTTGGTGGAGGGGCTTATCGATACGGTCTGGAATTATTCGCGGCGGCTGAAGCGTAAGCGGTGCCAACAGCGCGAGAGGGTGAAAACCCCGGGTATCAAGCGTGGATGTAGAGACGCCCCAACGGAAGAGTGGAGAGTCTATACAATACAGGAAAACTGAAAAAGCGAGGGCAGATAGACGGAAGGGAGCGTGGAGGGGCGGCTTGTATATACGCGCGCTGGCTGCACTAAAATTGTTCAGATTCTGATTATTCCACCCACGGGTCTGCATGGTTTTCGCCCGCCCTAGTCCCCTTCGGCTCCCTGCATTCCTGATGTTCGCCGGATATACCTTCCTGCGCCCACACCGTATCTCTGCTTACCAGAGCACATGCCTAATTGGCTCACGCTGAAACATGGTAAAGGAAACTTGTCGACGCGACTCTGATGCGACAAACTCAAAAGCCCAAGAGGCTTCGAAACCTGGCTTGCGGTGTCGCACGCGTCTCGCCCAGTTACAACTGGACCCTGATGCCCGAGCATTATATGCGTGTTCGTACTTCCAGACTCCTTGCCTCTCGTCGCACCCGTCACTTGTACCACAATCTCGTCTTTGAATACCCCAGAACACTGTCTGCAGGACTACTGCCGGAACAGCGTAAGGCACGCAAACACTAACGGCGTTAGCGCGCGAAAGTCTCAACAAAAGGATTGAGCGACTTACTAACAAAGTACCTGTAGCCGATGCTAGCAACGATAACTGCCGCAGGTACACAAGACCCTATCCACGAAACGAGGCATTGTATATGCTATCTCGACATCAAAGACCGCATGTTGGTAAGCAGAGGCTCAGCGCTGCACATGGCTGTGAGCTGGAACAAATCCATATGCGGTCAGCTGAACATACATATGCGGCAGGCGGATGTCGCAGCTTATATGCCAGTTCATAGGTGTCTTGCACTCCAAATATCACAACGATTTAGACGTGCTAGGACAGAATTTGGCCAGAGTGTTAGTCTCCTTCAAAGGTTCTGCCTGCTTTTCCCCACTGTAGATAGTGTCGCTACCCTACCTACTGTCATTTAGGCATTGGATACCTTGTCAAGGCCATATTGGGGTACACCGTGGTTGAGTATCAGAGGACATAGATTCCGCTCGTAGCATCCGCAACGGCCAGAGAGAGCACGACATTTACTTTTGTTTTTACATCATACTGCCTCGGGGTCTAGACAATTATCAAGATTGATGCATCACATACAAAGCAATTAAGTGTCGGTAAATCACAAGTATACAAGGGCCGCTTTGGGACTACGTATACTGAGGTCTGCGCTTGGAGTTTACGATGCTTCCATGCTTCAAAGAAGGGAAAAGGCTTATACAATGTTCCTTGGGAGTGCCGAATGCTCAAATCATGTATTTCATGTTATAGCGGGCGCGTAACGGGTTTGATACTAATGACCACGGTACTGCGGTGAAGCATCTAGCAACACTCCAGCGAACCAGCTCAAAGCTATCACAATCATCTCGCAGACCAAGGTACAAATTTCATAACCCGCCCAAACCAAGCCAATAGTCTAGCGAAAGTCAAAGGCGCATCCTCTTCTTCGTTGATACTAGGCGCTACACGGGTGGCGACACACGCCCAGGCCGAGGTGAAAATCGAGACCGTCCAAGCTATGGCCGATTGCACAGATACTAACAGGTAATATGTGTCTGGAGGAGTCTACTCAATCCCTTCGACAGTGAACAAGTGCCTAGATGAGGCTTGCGACCATATGACGATGCAGACCCGAAGGTGCCCTCCAGGGCTGGCACCCATCCAAGGGAAGAAGTGGACAGCTACCTCCACGAAGTAAATCTAGAAGAAAAAAAGCTAACAAGACTACATTGCCTTAACATCTGCTAAAACTCGTGTCTTTGTTCTGATAGAGACTTTGGCGCACCTGTTCAGCTTTTCCTTTGTCTGAGGTGCTGCAGGGTAAGAGACGCGTCACGTGGAGACGACGCGACAGAAAAGGACGCTAGTGGTCAACTTCCGCGCTATCGCGTCATCGTCCCTGCGCGCCGACTCTGCAACACCGCAGCCACCCCAAGAGTAGTTGCACCTCCCAACTTACCTCAACGCGCTTTCGCTCTAGATCACGGAATCTATCCAGGCTATCTAAGGTGAGCCTCACTCCAGGGGTCATGCCTCGCGACGGTCACAGAAGAATCGCATTGATGCATGCGCGTGTCTTACGCGTTGCGCTCGCTCGTTGTCTCCGAGGGAAGACGTTTTCATCTCATTCACAGCTTCTACTTAATGTGGGATGTTGTATAGGGTATCGCGATCGCCTGCGCGGAAGCCACACTTCTGATGAATGATATGCAAGAGCAGTTCAATGATCGGAAAGTACCTGAAAGACACTCCCGATGGCTACCAAAGCAGTTCAGGTGACCTTTGGAACATTCACCGCATGCGCTTCGGTGGCTTAAGTCTTTCCATCATGAGTCGAGGCGGCTACACTGCGAATCTCAGGGATTTATATCACCCTATCATCAGTTGTGACAGCTACAGGGCTACTGGATGTGATATTATAGAACATTGCTATCGCTATCAGCACTCACAATCGCAGGAGTGGCAGAACGGCGGGCTTACCGACTCTGCTACGGTATGCTCTTGCCCAGCCCATGGATCCAGGTCTGTTCTTCCCTCACGTCACCGTCAGCGGCAGTGGCATACGCGCATGAGGCATCTGCTCACAAGCTCGGGTCATGTTTACTTCCATCTCCAGCTGGCTCTTACGTTCTGCATCCCCATCAACCCATTGTCAACATCGTCACTCCAGCACAACATCGTCCCACACTTCCACTATTGTCAGCATATCGCCCATCACTGTTTCCAACTACCCCCCGATCGTTCTCGACGTCTCATTCGATACCGAATTTTCTAGCACTACGATAACTAACGACAATGGAGAACACAAGGGGCATGCAGCTTGCATCATCCGGAATGAACTTTTCAGCCGCTCCAGCAGCTGCCATATGGTGGAATATGTGTCCCATCGGCGCGCAAGAATTCCAGGGATCTGCCAACGAGACACTCCCCACCCAGAATCACGAGCCCCTCGCCGATGTGCTTGAGGAAATCGGACTCGGGTCTACGAACGATTCTCACTTCGTCGTAGACCTAAAGGCATTCCTGGATTCAATTGGCGACCGGCCAATCTTCAGCCATCATATGCTTTTCAATGCCGCAATTCATCAATACCGAGCTCACCACAATCAGACCATTGTCTTGACGAATTGCTATGGCAAGTCGGTATCCATCGATTTCGGTGGTGCAGTCAAGCCCGGGTATGTGCAACTCATGTTTGAACGTTAAAGAAGATAGTCGTATCCTAACTTACCGACAGTCAAGTTGCTGTTTTGGAGTACAAGGGAATTCACGCGCTCGCCATCGATTCGTAGATTAAACATATTAACGATGATTACATGCTCCCAGTCTACATCACGATCCGTGAAAAGGTGGAAGAACAACTCGATTACAACGACTTTTTCCAGCTAGAGACACGCATACTCAAGGCAAAGTCAGACTGGTACTCAAATGAAGTGCGCTCTTCTCTGCTCGATGTAATCCAAAAATTCAAGCACACGGCTCCGATCTCCAACATCGTCTGTATAGGTCTGGGAACTCTACATCAATCTAGCCTGGAGGGTGGCAGATCGCTGGCACAGCATATCGTCGCCTACACGCTCGCTGAAGAGCTCACCCGCATGTACAAGGAGGAAGGCATAGCGCTCCAAGAGCCTATCACAATAGTCGCTCAAGATCCCGCCTACACCGGCCGTGACCTCACCTTCCTCTCCGACCTACCAGTACCGATCCGTATTGAAGCGAATCCTGGAGGATTCCTCTCTATCAACGCACAGTCGCTCGTGTTCTCAAGCTTTCCGGTTGTACCAGTCAAACAGATAATCGCCGATCTTGCACGCGAGTCACCAGACGGCAAAGGCCCTGCTGCCCTATTCATGAACAACAACCATAGGGACAAGCTTTGGGGCGACTTCGACATCATCAGGATCCCTCGGGATTCTCCTTCGTATTACGCCAACCCGGAGACGAGGGGCTACGTAGAGACGCTTCAGTCGTATGAGCAGATCATGGATGGGAAGCGGTTATTTGGAGCGGCCGATCCCGCTGATGGCCCCGATTACGACTGGTTGTCAGGTATGGATATCTGGGCACGTGAAGAGTAGTCTGATCTCTTGGACGTTATTTTAGGGGAGGACAGTGCACATCAACAATACAAGAGCGGAGTGAACAGTCATCGTACGAGTTTCAACTTAGCTTCAACAAACCTTTATCGTTGCACTTCGATGCTCATTCTCTGTAGCAGTGCATGCTGATCTACATTTTAGACTTACCTTCTCCCCTTGCCCAAGTAATATGGCTCACAACCACTGCAACATCTATATGCGAAGACGTGCATTAGCGTGTCGAGGCGGATTTAACATCTTTCTCAATGTAAAGCTATCGGAAACGAATAACTTCATGGGTTCGTGTGCATACTCATCACAGTAGTCCTTGCATGGGACTATCCATCCATCAGCTTTTTTTGTGCCACTGTACAGCAAGAGTAAACGACGGAGCATAGCCATAGTAGTCACTCAACGTATGACCCGTCAGATCAAAGAGTTAGTCATGAAATCGATGAGCCAGATATCGCACCCTCACAATACAAGCTTTCACGCATACATACCAAAGTCTTTCGCACTCTTACCTTCAAACTCACTTGCCATGCATACACATGGGGCATCGTCTCGTTATAAAGAAGTTTGTCACCGAATATCTTCATGTCGCGAGCCTTCTCAGCCTTGCCAAACCTTTCGCTTCGTTACCTGTGCCTTATGTAGCTGTGTCATCAAAGCAGATCATGCACCCGAAGACGATGTTGCGTAACCGCGGAGACGAAATTGCTTTCCTTCTTTCCCGTCTCACCTGCAGTAGTTACTGCAGGTACCTGCAGAGTCACGAACATAGCGCTCCATCATCTGATTCAGCATGTCTTGGAGATTTACTCTTTCTGGACTCTATTCAAAGAATTTCATAATCATACACGAACTTCGTCTCCTTTGAGCCACCCAACTATTCACATGTTGCAGGTCTCAACGAATGTATTGGAGGTAGCGAGCTGGACTTATGCGATCTCGCATTGGTTTATCGACTGCGGAGTATTTCCCGTGGGCAACACCTCACACAGTCATGACCCGCGATTCGTATACGGCACAACACACCGCACTGGTTATCGACACAGCCATACACCAGCCCTTCACCCGAGCCACAAACTGCCTTCCCAGCCGTCACAACCACGTCACCACCCTCCATCACGACCAACCTTTCTGCAAACGCCAGCCCCATCTTTTGACCCGCGCGATCACCTCAGATCACAGATCCGCGCTAAACCCGCATCGCATCATCTTGCGACTGTCAAGAATCCTTCGCTTACCCTTGACAGCTCATTCTAACAACACACCGTCGCTGTCACTAACAAAATGCAGCAAGACTCATTGGCCGGTGGTAGAAATGAACGCACGGAAAATCGACGATGAGGAGACGAATAGCGAGCAGATTAGACAGAGAAGGCAGTCCTCGCTTGCGGCTTTAGTGTATGGCAAGCTTGCATTCGCGTGTGCATAAAGGCGCGCGTGAGCGACTGAGCGAGATGAGAATATGGTACGGTGTACACCTAAGCGATTCGCCAGACAAACGAAAAGGTTGAGGTGAAGCGAATGTAGCTCAATGTACAGCGTACATATAAGGCGCGGCATTATTTCACGGAGACCCTTCCATCCGGCGTCACTGTACTGTAGAGCTTGGTGCACAGAATGGCACACGTCATACGAGCGTGGAGAGAGCAGCAGTGCAGAAGGGGCGGATCAACGGCGCATATGCGGAGAGAAAAGAAGAACCGCTGCCGGAACCAAGTTAGTAGTTAGTAGACTGGGGGCCTGCCATTATGACCCAAGCCTTTTGGCGAATTGGCGGGATATACGAGGTAAGAGATGCAGATGATAAGATTACCCTGGTATAGAGCGAGGGTGCGTGATGTGATGGGGGAAGGGAATGGAGGGATGGGATTGCGGCGGCTCCGAGCTCGGGTAAGCTGGGGTGGCTGGCTGGGCTGCAGGATGTGTGCGGGAGTGCAATGAGTTATGCGTGCGTGCTCTTACTTCTACCAGGGGTGTGGTTTTCCCACGAATGACGTAGAAGGATTGCAGTGGCAGGTATATTGCTTGCCTTGCATTTCTGGTACAGTAACCAAGACCCCTTCCTCGTGTTCCGACCAAGATGTTGTTCCAGTATGATGTCGGTCACGTATCGGAAAGTGGGGGCTTCGGAGTGTCTTGATCTGGGACCTTGGTGATAGACGTTGTGGGCCCGTTCATGTCGTCATACTTGCCTCCGTTGCGGCATATCAAGTTTGGAGCACGCAGGCTGGCAGATCCCGCACTGGGTTCGGGTATCGACATGATCCAAGAAAGAAGCTAAACAGATATTGCGATGTACGTTACATCTCGTTCAACTTAGGCCCGCATACCACCCCCTTCCTTCGGCTGCAGGTAAACGTCGTCGGCGAAGTACCAATGTATCTGCGACGGTTTTCACGCACGGCACAGCAACTTACTGCATTGCTTGCGGAGCAGATCGTATCGCATGCATGCAGTCTGGCAGAGAAAAATAAAACCCATATTCCTGAGCGATCGAGATTGCACGGAGCTTACCAACATGGGGTAGGTCAAAGGAAGCAAGGACAAAGACCCATGCTATGATCCTCAGGCTGCATAAGCCCGACCGGTATTACATGGCCACCACACGTAAAAGCCCTTACCCGGAGTTGATGGAGATTAGGTTTAGATAGAGTGATGTCCACGTACACATTTGACTTGGGCGGTGCGGCTCCCGACAGCCAGGTCGATAAACGTGGATCTGCTGACAGTTTCACGTTGTTAAAGGACCGACAGACCGTGACAGTGATCTTGTGCCCCACCCTTGCTCACGGCAGTGTCGTTTGCTGCGCGCTGTTCGGCGATATGCAATGCAACACACCCAATATTCAGTTGCAGCAGTAGCTTCGGAGTATACTGTTGCAGCTGCATACACTGAAGCGCCTCGCAGTAATAACAGGGTCACTGGGTCATCAAACTGCGAAGCCTTTCGCGACCTTTTCGTCTTTGTCGCGGGGCCCGACATCCAAAACCCCGGCGCGGTTATGCCCTTACGTGTGATGACCTTTGCAGATTGGGATGTAGCGGGTGGGCTTCCGAATGCGAGATATGCGCGGGTGCCGACACACGAACTCGATCTCAGACGGACAGGCTGATCCGTAATCATTGGAAAGCACTTGGGATCTGCCCGCGGGACCGGGTCTCACGTGTGCTAGTCATTAGAAGCCGAAGTTCAAACGGAGATCGTGGGTTCGTGATTGACGTGTCGTGGGCCCCTCGGGCTAATCTTGCGGTGCATCCTTCGACTCCTTCACATCGTCGATGGGCTGCGCATTCGTGTCCCGCAGAGAGCTTCCTTCGGATAGACGTTGCGAAAAAAAAAACATCAACGGTCACTAACGGCTTAGGCCACTGCTTCAGCATAATACCAGGTCTAGAGTCCAGCGCATTGACAGCGGCAAACTGGTGAGCTTGGTCCTGCGTTCATTATGCACCTGTGAATCGACCGCCGTGTGAACAAAACTCTCCTTGAGTACCCCCTGGCGCTATAATTGCGGATCATGTTGAGCATAGATCGGCGCCGATCGCGACTATGTGATCCTTCTGGAGCACTGCGAAGGGAGGAAGATTCCCAGTGGTGGAAATCATGTGGCGGGATACAGGCCGTATGCGGATGTCGGACCACTTTTCAGAAGCAAGCCTTGTGCTGCCGCGGGAGACTCTCAGCAGGTCACGTATTGACTCCTCACCCCGTCGCATTGCTGGCTTGAATAAGGAAGAAACGGGGTAACACTAGATGCGACTCCTCGAGATCTGACACTTGGAGTAGACCGGATACGGTGAGCAAGGCCGTGAGCGTGTAGCAGTAGCAGCGATCTCATGGTATCGCCGGTAGCGTTGTGATGGCGCCGACCAAACGATACTAACGTCCTGTCACGCAACGTTCACGAATAAACTCGCTGAGCGTCAGCCACGCGGAGGAGGGTGCGCTAACGATTTCTGCAATGACAGGGGAGTGAGGCAGGCCGACGCGGACGTTGGTGGGTCAGGCCGAGTCACTTGAACAGGGGCCTAGAAAAAGAAGCCTCAGGTATCCAGTCATGTCTGGAAGATATCGCTTTTCCACAATTTGAATCCACTATCGAGTATCGGCGGCCGCTGATACGCAACTGGTCCGGCTCGAAGGTTACATGAGCTTCACATTGCGAGCTCCACATGCCTTGTTTGATGTGGTCGTGCTTTTGCAGAGCCAGAGATGGTTAGCTGGTGAATGGCTTGAACGTCTTGCAGAAGTGGATCTCGAAGTTGAACGGCTGAAACAGCGGCACTGGACATATGGTTCCCCATACTGAATCAGCTTCTCCGTCTTCTGACGAGGGTCATTCTGACGAGGCAGCATATCCGCGGCAGGTACCGCCGCAGCCATGAATGGAAGTCGTACCGAACACCTTGCTTATGGGGATTCATCGGCGGCGATGTGCATAGCATACGAATGGACGGTTAGATCGAAGGCGAAATAGAATTCACCCGTGATCCGGCAAAGACGGCATTGGTTGGCAGCCCCTCTGATCCGGCTGATCTGACACTTGGCCGCACGATATCCTGGTGAATCTCACTGTCAGCCGAGCCCACCTCGACGCGGTGATCAGGAATGATCTACGCGGTCCCTTGTCGTGGCGCAATGGATCCGGAAAACATGCTCAAAACGGTGGGAAGGGAACAGGGTGCGAGACACACAACTGGGCCGCTCATTTTCGCCGTCGACTCTTTGGGTTCCCTACTGCCCCATTCGGCCCGCTTGGTGGCTGCTGTTGTTGCTTCACCCGAACCCCTGTGTGCGGATTCAAAACAGCAACGAGGTTGGGGAGATTGAAGACAAAGTATGCTCGATTCCCGGGGACGCCTCAAAACACACCGCAGTGCTGTTTGACCACAGACACGACGTATTAGCCGTATTGCCAACATCGTCCAACTCCGCAAGGGGTTCTTGCAGCGCAAATTGCGCCCCGGTAACAGTGGCGCAAAGGATCGGACGTGATCTTCTGGTAGGTAGGCACCAGTTTGACCCATTGCATTGATGGCACCGCGATTGAAGGGTCGCGGATGGTGAATCTTATCATGTTAGAGGGTATTGAGAGATAATCTCCGTGTCTCCAGGAACTCTGAATCTGGACTGGACCCGAATTTGCTCGGAAGAAGAGTAGATGGTCATAATTTGCAGCGCAGTGCAAGAACAAGGCTCGATAGATGTGTCCGATGCAGCTCAGAGCAGACCATGTGTTCTTAACAATCCTGCGTACCGGGTACTGCTGGCCATCTCGCGATATCTCCAATCTGTCGGTTCCGCCTCATTCTGGTTGGGCTCATTTCTTTGCCTAATTTACACGAGTAAGCGCTGAGAGGAGTCAACCTGCCAGGGTATACCCTTACGAGTTCGAACCAAACCCACCGATGTATGCAACGAAGACGATTGCGGAGCCAGTTGTCCGGGTAGTTGCTCAAAGCTCGTGCATGACGTTCTGCCTTCATCTTCTGGTGAGGCATTCCAAAAACATACCCACCTAAGAGTTTCTGCTGCAGACTAACTATAGCTGCTCGCTTTACAATAAACGGTGAGTTGTTCCGTGATGTCTGGAATGATGAACATGGTTGTTGCTCGTAGCGAGAGCGCGTGGCTGCGTCATGGCTTAAAGTGCAAGTTCGCATAGCCCTCGTCTGAGCATCACACGATGTGGACGCTGGACGAATCCCGGCAGTTCGATGTAATATTTTTGTCGGTCAGGGCCAATGAGACGCCTGACGATGAGAACAGCCTTGCAATCTTCGGGCTTATCCAGCTTGGGCGCTTTAGCCGGAGAAACCCTGGAGAGCGTCACGCATGGAGCAGACGGGGGTGCGACGTACAGGGGCCAGGCCAAAGCTGCTTCCACTGACCCATGGAACGCAGCGGGTATCTGATACAACCACGTTCGCACTGCGATATGCTGTGAAATTGAGGACGGTGTCGGGTTTTGGGAAGAGGTGTTGGAAGACACGGGGAAGCTTCGGGTAAGAAGGTGGGTGACATGCCGCTGGGTTGCCGATTCGTGAAAATGAAACGCCGAGACGATCGCTCGGAAAGCACTAGGGAGGCTCCTTGCAGTAAGCGTGTTCCCGCTGATGATGGATCATGATGCGGTCCAAGTATCGGTATCCCTGCCAGTCCCGCGCTCCCTGAGACCGGACGCAGCGTCCCTGGGTGGTGGTCTTCCGGGAGATCATGCACCCTGTTCAGCGTTCGCATTCTGCCATGCAGATACGCAGTTTTTGTTGCTGGAGACTGGCCATCGATCAAAATTATGTTCTGCATGGTGGTGCAGCTGTTCAGATTTGACAGATTGTGAAGTGCGCACCATGACATCTGATGTAGACTGCGAATGAGGTATCCAGGACGGTGGTAATGTGATGTGCAAGACGCCCGGCACTCGCGCAGGCCTAAGCGATGAAATTCCCAAATTCCATCAACGGAAGCCCTGAGGTCACGTCTGTGCCCATTTCTCTAGACCGGCAGCACCAATAGAGTGGGATGCCACGGTCGCTCACGTCTGCGTCGGTGGTGGTACACACGATAGCCCTGCAAGTCTTGTGCTTCGATTGTTCTAGCGAAGAGAAGAGCCACGAGGTCGTGTTGCACCGAGCTGGGAAGATGCTGTGCGACGCCGGAACGCATCATGCTCCTGACGACGACGCAGTAAAGAAATTGCACGGTAACCGCAGTCTTCCTTTTGAGCACTAGACACTAGACACTCGGCTTGGGTTGCTAGATCTGCGGCGCCTCGTGGTGGACGATACATAAGCACGCGGTGGCAGGCTGCGGTGGCATCTCACTCGCGCGCAGCTTGTTTCTCGAAGGCGCTCCTAAGCATGGCAGAGGGCAGCGTGGTTGGATGGCGGGAGGTCGGCTAGAGTAGTGAGCAGATGGTGACAGCCAACGTGGCCCCCGGGATTAGCTGCATGCGCTTGTCGCTGATCGACCCGCCTCTTTCGACGAGATCCTCCACAGACGAACGAGGCCAAGACATGGGATAACGCCGCCATCCCGCCCTGGCGGCGCCGCAGAGACGTCGCGTGCTGGGGTCGGAGACTGTCGCTGCAAAGAGGCAACAGCCGTCGAGCCGTCGTTCTGACGTCCCGCGCTTGCCTTTTTGCTGAAACCAATCTGTCGCTGGCACACGGCCTAACCTGCTAGCTGGAGCAAGCAAACATGCGGTGAGCGTTCTCGATGCAGCGTGCTGGGACATGTACTGGAGAAGGTAATGAGTGAGGTTGGGACGAGTCAGTCCCGTGACTGCCCGTCGAGTTCGCCCGTCATGGCGGTGACGGTGGTTAGACAGCTGTGTACGACCGCGCACCACCAGACGTGCCAGAAAGTCGACCGCCTCCAATAATTGCCAGCAAATCATCCCGCGCGCGATGCTTCGCTTCACCCAGCGCGGCTGCAGCCATGTGCATCACTGCAGGCGGACCCTCTCTAATGCGGGATCAGATTTTTAGGAAATGCAGTCGTAACAATGGTCAAGGCATCGCCTGGTGGGTAGGACTAGACAGCTTCTGCTGCACGAGGCGCTTGGCTCGCTTCCGCAGTGACTTGCCTCGAGCCAAACGCCCCCGGGACGATACGGTGCTATCGTCTAGTTGACTGCCATGGCTTGCGACGGTGCCCTTTCACGAGGGCGGCATGAGGTGGGTGGACAGTGGTGGCTTCTTTAAAGTGTGCCAAAGGCGCAGCACCGAGACTCGCACGTCTCATCGTTGTCTCTTTCCGAAGGCCAGCATCGCAGCCGTTCCCAAGCCTCACCCCCTGCGTAATCCTTCGTCAGCGCGATCCGTATTGTCTCGCCGCCGCTCCCAGAGATACAGGCCGCGGTGGATCTCTCGACTGCTGGACAGCACGTCGGCAGTGCGCTCTGGAGTCTGGCAGGAGTACCGATCGGTGCAGCCCCAGCGCCCGTGCAGCCAGGACCCTTTGCATCGTCAACCCAAGCGCCGTTGGAGGCCAGCTGGCAGGACGCAGCAGTCGGCGACGTGCGGCCTGAGTCGTCATCTGGCGGCAGCAGCGTGAGAGGAATCGGCGAGGGTTGTTCCGCCCCGTTGGGAACGTCGCGGGCATTCACTCGATCCCAGCGGCTCTGCAGCTTACTTGCTTCCGACAAGCCCACGAGGATTCTCCTCAGGTATCTCCTGGAACGGTCGATCTGCAGTGCAGAGTGGCCTGTCCTAGCACCGCGGCCAGGGCCCCTGCCGTGGCTGTCCCAAAAGCGCTGTTGCGCCGGTGCAGCGTCGATTGGCACGTCTGGGATGCGTGGGCGGATCGCTCGGCCAAGGCATTACTACGGGGCGTGCACATCTTCACTCTAAACCTCGTCCGTCTGTCATCTGCATTGCCGTTGCAAGGGACTGAGCGTCTCGGGCTAACTCGAGTGGGACGTGGGCTTTTTGACAACGGTCCGCCGCCTCATCGCCCGCTCAAACGCAATTTGGACAGGGAACGACAGGCCCACTGACGACGCTACGGTGCGAACGGGCTTCGTGCTGAATCTCGCCAATCCCCTCGACACCGTACTTGAATGCTGCAGGCCCGAATTCCTGGCTCTACATCTGCTTGTACCCGTCGCCTTGACTACTCTCCATCTCGTCATCATCCATCTCCCTTCACCCACTCCTCTCTCTCTTGTTACGCAGCCACTGCTGTGACCCGTGACAACCACCTCCTCCATGGCAATGCATCTCGCCAGTATGGTACACGGCAGCGTTAGGGAGCGCGAGTCGTTCCAGCACCCGGCCTACTTCCAGCAGTCGCAACCTCGCGCCTTCCCCATGTCGGGTGTTGCCGCCTCCTCATATCCCGTGCATACTCCATCCCAACCTCAGGTCGAGCAGCAGTACCGCCAGCAACAACAGCAGCAGCAACACCAACACCAACACCAACACCAACACCAACAATACACACACCAACCACAGCAGCAGCAGCAGCAACGGCTGCAATCGCCGCCCTCACCACCAGCAGAGGAGAAGAAGCCTTCACTGCCTTCTATCTCAAGTCTCCTCGAGTTTGCTGGGAACGACAAGGCTGCTTCCGAGACAGGTAGGCGCCAACCACTGCACCATCCTTCACTCCCATACTGACTCATCGCAGCTTCCCAAAGTCCTCAGTCACAGCACCGCCAGTCGTCATCGCCGCAACTAAGGCAGGCACAGCAGGGAGGGGCAGGAGCCATGCAGCAACCATCACAAACCGTCTACGCGCAAGTGCCTGCGCCGAGCAACCCCAGGATGACACTGCCTCCGACACCGCCAATGCACCCAGACGTGGCACACGACGGTACCCAGTCTCCCTCCGCTGCATCAAACCACTCTGCTGCGTCCGCGCCCTACTTCGTCGGCGGCTCGCTCAACAACATGGAGCCGCACCAGCAGCGCCAGTCCTTCTCATCGATGCCTCCAATGAAGCGCGATTCGCTGCAGTCGCACTCCATGTCTCCGTACAGTACTTCCATCTATGGCCAGTCTCCGTATCAGTCATCACCAGGCGCTGCCTCTACGACTTCATTCTACTCGCCTGAGCAGCACTCTTACAACAGCACTGCAATGTATGCGCAGCGCCCGCTTCCTTCCAACTTCCAGCCACACTCGATACCCCTGCCGGCTCCTGTGCCCAGCCCGGCTTCGAACGGCTCCAACCCATGGCAACACCACCACTACATTAGCACCTCTAGCCAGTCTCAGTTTCCCCAGTCTCAGGATCGGTACATCTGCTCGACTTGCAACAAGGCCTTCTCGCGGCCAAGCAGCCTGCGCATCCACAGTCACAGTCACACAGGCGAGAAGCCCTACAAGTGCCCGCAGCCTGGATGTGGCAAAGCGTTCAGCGTGCGCAGCAACATGAAGCGACACGAGCGAGGTTGCCACGCGGCTTCCAGTACCACCCTGACGACATAACGAGCTAAGAGCCCTCACCAACTGTCTCACGCAATCGGCCTGACAAGCCTCGACCTACCATGTAGTGGTCCCACCCACGAAATGCTTTGTTCAGCCGCATCTTGCCAACGATACCACTTTCACGCATCGGCGTTTCGGGCGCTTCCCATCTTGTCATGCATTTCACCGGAGTTTCTTTCTCGTGTCACCAACGATATCCTATATCGCTACTACTGCGATAATGTACGCTACCTTCAGTCAACTTTAGTTTCTAGTCCGGTCAGCTGTTTGCTATCGCATCAAGGCGCATGGCATTAGTCCAACAAGCCGCCCTTATTTTCTTGTATTATAGTAGGGATCCTGCATGAGCGAATTCAATGCTCAACCATGCGCCAAAACCGATCAAATCAATACTGTCTACGAAATCCAGTTACTTTCATGCTATTGCCTGTGTTGTTGTGGATTCATTGAGCGAAACGATGTTTCGCATTGCATGTCAGTCGCCTTCTAAACCTAGTGGAAACCGGACACGTCAGAGCCACACTTGACACTTACGACACGTCGAGCGCGCATAGATCGTTCCTGACGGGTTATCCATGTCGTTGTCTTCGCGTAACAATTAATCCGTATGCGAGAGGCAGTCGCCATCGGTCGCCATCACTTCCAAGCTGCTTGCCCACGCTTCCAACCCGGCAAGACCCACGGTAGTTGATACATCTCCGGGATTACCGCATGTTCCTGGACTATATTCGAGCAGTCATAACGATTTTCTGGATTCCTGCAGATCGTTGGAGTCACTGGGGCATCTCCCGTGTCAATCTTACGTTGGATGCTTATTGCACTGCATTATGATCAGGGCTCAAGTTCAAGGAGACATTTACCCGTCCACTCTTTCCCGGATAGGTCATATCGTTCTGTAAACGACATCTGTGGACCCCAAAACGGTTGTCCATGAAGCCAAGTCCGGACTATCGAACCATTCCGCCTCGCCACGGTCTATATGGATAAAAATATGCATTCGCTCAGAGGCACGTCTTCCCGAGTCCATTACCGTGTCGATCAGTGAATCCCACTCTGGAACGAAGTGAGTGCGCTGAAGGTGTACACGGAGTCAACTGTCATGCGCCGTCAGTTAGGAGACGTGGAGGCGATACTGTGCCACTGACTCTGAGCCAGGCCATGTCCTCTCCGATTATCGACTGATTTTTAGGGAACAAATTTCTCCGTAATGCAAAAGTCCGCATTCTACTCTAAACGTGGTTGCCAAACGTCGCTTATGCTTGCATGCTGCTGCTTCTTCTATACTGAGCCGTTTGTTCAGAGCTCAATGGCATGACCTCAACAACGCCCAGCGCAGGTCCGATGTTCGGCTGCAGCATACAGCGGTTATTCGGGATCGCATGTGGCTTGCCAACATAGTCTGGCCCCATCCTCCCGCAGGCGTTCCAGCACATGAACGCATGAGCTTTGAGTGACGATCGTCACTTAACTATTCTCCGAACCCCGGGTCTCTCATCAAACCATGTGGGATATCACGGAATAACAAAGTCGTGCTTTCAATAATACTGAAACCAGCATTGCGGCGCCAATCGTAACGGTAACGGCTCGTTAACCAAACTCGTCATGCGGGCTCTCCACCCAGGGGCCGACGTCAACATTGAGTGAGGTCGGTTGCGTGTGGCTCACTGGCTGCCGTCAAAAGGAAAACAAATGGTCTGATTCCAGACCCCTGTCCACTCGTCTATCCGTTTGGCGGAGGAGGAATCCTTTGAATCCTTTGCAACGGACACGACACCGCACAGAGCGCCGCCACGCATTGTCTCCCCACAGAACGGCGAAAAGCAATCCCCTCGGTCGAGGCCCTGAAACTCAACAAGCAATTCCAAGCTCTCGTGCGCATTGATGACGGAGAGTGTACTACTTGCCGGAGGTGTGATAAAGTTTAGCGAAGACGGCCGCTGAACAAGACTACAAAAAGCAATCGCGGGATGGAGATGAAGGAGCGTCGCCTCGTCAGCAGTTCCCTTGATTCGAGCTGGCACACGGTTCCTGCCAATCGGGTTGTTGGTGCAGGTGGATCGGAGCGCCCCTTCAAGCCCTTGGATCGTGCTCGCGAAAGATCTGCGCATCATCTTGGTTTTGCGCAAGTGTCTCAGGTTCTAGTTCCATCTCGCTTGCAATCATGGCGCATCCAGAACGAGAAGATTGATGAGCCTGGCAATACGGGCCATACGGCGACGGCAGGGGAGACTCCAAGCAGCCTTCTAGCACAAAGCCTATGCCTACGCCTACGATTCCCCCAGCCACACAAGAATCCTGTTGCTGCGCGCATCCGCTTACAGAAAACAGTGCGCCAACATATGTTGTCACCATGCGTCTATCAATTCCGACAACCAAGAACCGATGCGCACGCCCAGCGGCGATCAAGGGAACGTATCGTACCATTTTGCCGTCACGACTGGTGCAGTCAAGTATTGAAGGTACCGAGGGAGGGGTACCTTCGTAATGACAGCCACTCAGCGTTGCCTCTAATCAGCACCATCACCAATCAACGAACCTTTGCGTCGGAACCAAACGCGCGACGGTCCATGGTGCCCAGGTGGGATGACGACGTTTTCGAAATAACACCACCACGCAGAACCTCCAACGACTACTTCTGCAGCTGTGCAGCTCAGAGCGCTCTATTATCGGATGCATGCTATCTTGCTCCAGGCAATCTTTCCCTAGATTATCATGGCTGGGCGATTTGCCTGCGAAATTGTTGCGAGATTGTTGCTACTGCCGCCCTACGCGGCCTTGCGAATAGCACTCTAAACTATCAGCCATGATCCCTGCGCGCCAGACCTTCGAGAAGGAGGTTTGCACGGAATTATCCATAACACCGACCGTTGCCCCTCCTCCTCTCCGCTACTCATGACAAGGCAGTCAAGCAGGGACCTTGGACTCGCATCCTGCCGTCGACCAGGACCCCCTCTCATCACCGCGAGCTTCGTCCGAAATTTCCGACAGAGAGAGCAGGTGATGCCACTGTCATGGTAAGACGAGAAGATTTGCCTAATGAACCGCGATCGACAGCCGTCTGCGCCGTCTTTGTGAGAATCCCAAGTGCCGACAGCTATGGCAGCTATGCCAACAACGGCGGTGCTATTGTGGGTATCTGTGTCGCATTCGTGCTGGCAGCACGTGGCGGTGAGTATCAGCAAGCACCGTATCCCGCAACGAGCCCCAAGCCGATAGCAGTCATCTCGGACATTAATACCAGCCTTTGCGCCTGGTACGAGACAGGCCAAACCGTCGGAGCATCCACAGTGTACCAGCATGCTGCCAGAGTCATAGCTGCACCCAGGACACCCAGCCTGACAGCTGTGATCGCCCAATTTCCGCGTCGCGCGAACGCCCACGCCCACCCTTTGCCCGTTCGCATCCCAAAGTACACGAACCGCATTCTAGCGCCAGGCGGGCAAATGCTCCGGGACTAATGCTTCTTGGGGTGTGAGGTGACCGTGCGGACGATCAGAGATGGGATGATCCCAGCTTCTAGCCAACATCAAGGCTCGTCCCTGCGCGCCCGCATCGTCCAACTCAGCACACTCACACTCTCTTCCCGGAACAACGTTTGAGTCAGAAAACAGTGATCACACTCAAGGGCCGACTCGTGGAAAGTACCATTGCGCCATGCCGCCATCGCCGGATCACCTTCGTATTCTCCTTGCGACTCGTTCCGGAACCTGATGCTAGGGACAGCGTTGGGCATCCACCGTTCGGGATCGCCTCACTACCACTCTCGCTACCAAATAACGATATCGCCGAAAAGAGAGTTTCGCCATTGAGCGACGACCAGCGATTGAGTTTGGCTGGCTTGCGGGAACTAGAATCGCGCATATCGCGCAAGACTGTTTCGTGCTGTCCCATGGTTCACGTCCATCTCGCGTAGAGAACTTTTACCGGCATGATGCTTGTTTGCAACGTGATTGATGATCAGACCGAAGGATTCCCAGGCTCTACCCTTTCATCTTCGTGCCGTGCTTGTGCGGCGTTCATGCGACTGGGATGCACCACGTCACCGCCTTTCGAAGGATCATATCGCGGTTGTTATAGGGACGTGTGTAGTAGGTCCTTTTCAGGCAGGAACGGCCGGGCCACGTGATATCGTCGCTGCTGGGAACCTCCTTGCCACCATCAGGCACACAACGTGGATGAGCAACGACCGAGGATTCTGGAAAAGCTGGGTTTGACCTGGTTGCGCGCACGCTCAGGTACAGACGCTGCCCAAGGGGCGCAGATGAATCATGCGGTTGTTCGGGCGACAATGAAGCTGTTGTCTACATGGAGGATGCCTGGTAAGCTTGCAATGGTAATGGTGAGTAGTTCATCGAGACAACACGATCTCCATCGTCGATGTAGGGCTGTCTTCTCCTTTGTCATTTTTCTGTCGCCATCCTTGCGCGCACGACTCCTTCGCGCCGGCGCCAGCGCACTTGTTGCCTACGCGATGCGACGACCATGCGGTGTGCGAATGTGAGGCTGTCAGCTATCGCCAAATGCGTGCGCTCGCCGAGAAAGAGAAGGAGCGGGTGGCCTCGTGAATCCATCGACTAGGTTACTCCAGGTTACACAAAGTACGCAGCGCAACATGTGGATCGCGAGGAAGTTCCTGCGAAGCTGCCCCGTAAGGGGTATCGCTTGACCTTGCCGAAGTGTTGCGAAGAGTTCTTGCGAAGGAAGTCTATCGGTTCAATATGCCGAAGAGTCGCGAAGAGATTCCGCGAAGCTACTCTATATGCGTACCGGCTGAAGCCGAAAGGGTGCGAAGCTGTTCTGCAAGTGTATCGGTTGACCTTTCCGATGGGGCGCGCAGAGTCCCTACGAAGCTGCCCCGTAAGTATACCGGCTGAACTTGCCGACCGAAGAGCCGCAAAGAGCACAGATCTGACCGCCATTGAGGTCGAGTGACCTGACTGCGCTGACTTGCAGCCGATCGTCATTACTAATACGCCGCGAAGGGGCGAATGCGTTGTTGTGAAGCCGAGCGGACTGGAGAAGATCTGAGCACGTCTCGATATGTGTCCTATTTGGCCGTGTGTAAAGAACGTACGATCTATCGAGCTGTACACGCAAGCACGGCGCAAGAGACACGTGGTGTTGACGCAAGCTTGATGCCACGGGCGTTATGTGGTTTGAGTCTCGGTGAAGAGCCGATAGCTTTGGAGTTGTGCTTGGGTCAGGAGTGTCGTGGTACAGGATGATGCGGAAGGCAACTCGCCCCAGTGAACGCTAGGCAAAGAGACTGATCTCGGTGTCTACTTTCCCGGGACAGTTTTCGGTGATCAGATGAGTTGAGGTCAGTGGAGGATAGCGCAGTTCTACGACTCCTGTTCCAGAATGATGCATCAAAACGCTTCGTCACAAGTATTCCGATCCACTGAGTATTACGATGATGTTACTATTCAAAACGGCCTTTCCTCCAATTCACCTCGAAGACGAGTTATCTCTCAGGCGATGATTATGATACGTGATGCCTAGCATGCAGCTTTGGCGGTTCTAACAACGGATCATCACTTACACTAGAGGTGGCTACACCTCACCTTAGAGTCAACGGAGGTATTACGAAAGATATCATCAATGTAGAAGTAATTGTTATGTTGGAGAGTATTTACTTATCCAGATTCAACAGTGTGTATGCAGCAGATCGGGACATAATTCTAGGCACTCCTGCTCCTACGCTTCGAGCGACATGATACAGATGTTTGCATCTCATGAAAATAATCCTCGATTCCGATTCAACGTCATCGCATCGCTTGCGCGCGCTCTTTCTTCGTCTGCTTTCTACTCTAGTTCATACAGATCCTGCGGACTCTCCGATTGATCAACGAGATCGACGTGCAGCACCAGATTTCCGTCATCACTATTATCGAGTACATCGTATGGCGCAAACTTCGCCAGTATCATAGCGTCGTCTGGTAGGTCAGCGAAGCTAGTGCGATTATTCGGTGGACCGGAGTCGCCATGTATCAGACTCCAGCTGGGCTCTTCTTCAATCTCTCTCGCTAACGCATACTCTTGCGACAGATCGGTCTTTCGCATATCACGCACAAGGCGATGTATCTTCTCTTGCTCTATCGTGAAGTCTTCGTCGTCCTCGTCTCCAGAATAGACGAGCTTGCAGGTATATCGCCCAACATGCTGCAGCTCGATGTTGAATAAGATGAGTAGATGATTGGTGTAGTCGTTTCCAGCCAACAGTATCGCGCCGCGCCGACAGTTGAGAGGGAATGTGTACGCCTGGTCAGTGGCTATACTTGGTACGTCTGAGGGGCGAGCCTTGGCACTACAGTAGACTGTGTTGAACAATCTTAGAGTGTCTTCGCTTATGACTACCTGGAGAGGTCGTCGCTTCTCTACTCTGATGCTTGGCTCTTGACTCATGAAGATGGCTGTGGGTGTGCGCTCCTCGGCTTTCATAGTCATCAGAGGTCCAGTGGAGCGAGCATCACGGGCATAACGGTTTGTTCCTGGTGGCCCAAGACGTACAACGGGTAGACCAGTCCGTGTATTGTAGGTCCCGCAATGCAAAATAGCCAATCCGTATGGGTCTTCGCCTTGGTGAACAATCGGAAGCTCGATTCTTAAGCCTTTGTTAGTCATCGAATACGGACTCTGGAAATCATCGTCAAGAATAGGGATCAAAGTGCTGGCCCCTCGAAACTTCGACGGATGTGTAGCCAAAGGCCCACAGAGATCATTTCTCGTACGCTCGAAGCCTAACTGCCACGCGAATAATGTTTGGTCGTCAGACTGTTTCATGATTTCTTCCTGTTTGGAATGAGCGGGAAAGAACGGAGAGCCAGAGGGATGATCATCGTACCTGCAGGCGAAGAAATGCTTTGCTACCCTCTCCATATAGTAGTGGCATATTGACACCAAAAAGTCCTAGGAGGCAATACGCCAAATCCTCCGTTCTGGTCGTCTCGCGTTCAGAGGCCCAAGACATGCGCTGTGCAACACTGCACTTCGTGACGTCCCCACCGAGTAATATGTACTTTTCAATGCCAGTCCTTTTCACTATCAATTCAAGCAGAGTCCGTTTGTCGCCAATCTTGCTCCAACTGGATGAGCTGTTGGCATAGAAAACCATCTCTTCCGGGGCTATTAGCTCCTGTAACGTCCATCCTCGAGTCCACCAGGCACTATTCATGACATGCGAGATGGGCTCTAGTCGCTGCCAAGCAAGAACATGCCCCGTTTTCCAGCGGCTGTTGAGTCCACTTCCGTTTCCATCCTGGTGCTCGTAGACATCGATGATTCCGGCCCAGGCCCCATCGGCGTCTTCTGCTCGGTATGTTGGCCAAGTATGTACGTCGGCCAAGTAGGCGTAGCAAACTATAGAATGTTGATACCAAGTATACATTGAGTTGATGGCCTCGGACAATTCTGCGCTCGACGACTTATCGATACAGCATGTGTCAACCCACACATACTCTATCATATCTTCCAATGCTTGTTCGCAACATTGCCGTATCTTCTTGAACCCAGACTTCCTCTTTGTGGCGGCCGCCCGGATTTTGAGCTCCTGGTCCTTAGTAGATCGAACCCCTTTTTCTTTGGCAGTCGCCCGATCGCTCATCTCTTGATAGGTGACTTCTTCACCCTCCCATCGGTGCGACAGGATGGCATAAGGTGGGATGGAAGAGCCTTCAAACTCGTGGAACGTCATGTCTGCTGCACGAAGGAGGCGCATGTTGTCGATAAATCCCGTGTCAAGTCTTTCGCTGCCGATAGTGAGCTATAATCGGATTCATCTGCCGAATGGGGTGTAAGTCTTAGTTGTGATGAGAGAGCGGTTCGAGTGAATGTGTCGCGCGACAATGTAAGATCGGAGGAAATGTGGCAAGGTTGGGCTAGTGAGCCGTGGGGGCGGAAAGCTGCAGGTGACGTTCCACTATCGGGATGCGACAGCCCTGGAGGCCAGAAGGCTAGTCTTAGAGACTCAGTCTTGCGAAAAGTCAAGGACGAAACAAACGAGCCAGAACAAGGGCCTTGTTTAGCGGGGAGATGCTTCATACATCATACTGGCAACAAAAAAGGTCTCGAAGAAGGAGCGCTGCTACAGTCCTACAATCTTGAAATCGTGATGCACACATAAATTGATGCAGGAATACCTAAAGTAGCAGCATAGCTACCCCACATCATAGCCTCTGTTGATGCAATACGAAAAGCCATCAGGAATGCTGACTTGCATCCGAAAGAAGTTCCTTGAGTCCGGCTACGTCCCCCTAGATGGCCATGCGGATGGATGCCAAGCAGCATCAGACCCCGTCCCGCATAAGTCGATCTAGAGCTCGAACATTCCGTCTTCTTGCTGGCCCATTCCAAACCAGCTTCCGAGGGTGTTCCAGGCACTCTGCTTCTCTCCAGGCAGCTGAACGCCATCAATCTCCTCTTGAGTAACGCTGTACCATTCATCCTTGGGAATCCATCCAATGTATGCACGGTCTCCGAAGCCTCCAATCCAGTATATCTCCTCGACAACGAGACGCACCCACTTGCTCTCGTGAATGCCACTGCCTGGCAGCCACCATGCAGCATCCGGATGCTTCTTGACATAGCAAGCCGTCACACCCAGCTTCTTGACAGCATCCATATCGATGTCCTCGAGTCGTCCGACGAGTGAGAAGCGAGGGAGAGATGCGGGACTACGCCACTTGTTGTCCTGGGGGTGCCATCGCATGCTCAGGGTGATGTTGGAGCCGGCATCTACGTTCTTGAAGGAGGTCGCGATGGTGATGGCGAGGATGGTCGGGTTGCCTGAGTCGGACTCGCAGTCGCCGAAGTAGTCCATCAAGCCTATGGGCGCGCCGCCGACATCCGAGGGTCGTTGCTCGGTGGTGTGAGAGTCTGGGAAGACGGTAGATAAGGTGCCGATGTTTTCTAGGCGCATTATCCTGCGAGCTTGGACGGCGGACTCGTGGACCGTTGGGATCTTGAAGCCGGATCCATCGCTGGAGGACGGGTTCGCGAAGAAGTACTGTGGTGACGGCAGGTTGGACGCTGTGGTGACGGAGATGAGGCCTACGAGGGCAGCTTGGAGACGCATCTTGCTACTGCTTGTATCTGAGTGAGGCAAAGATGTAACAGGGTGTTTCGAGAGCTAGATCGCTACAGTGAAGGTGGTGGCTGATGGCAAACAGCGACGCGTCCGAGCGAAGCTACGGGACGCATCATGCGACACCCAACCGCGGCGGGGATCTCCGACTAGGGTAAAGGTAAAGTCTATTGCGGAAGGCATGACCGTGTCCGGCACAGAGATGGCTCATCCATAAGCATCTAAACACAGCATGACCGCGCTGCTTGATAGTGGCTTGAGGGTCATTGAGAAAGTCGGCGTGTCTAATCTGTTGTCCGTTGTACTTGTTGATGGGTCGCATTATCTTATCTGATCATCTCTTGTAAATGTGGAGGCGAGATCTCCGTTCCGAACATCTAGACGCAGCAGCCTGATAGATGGTAATTTCTGCATCGGCACAGCTATCTAGATGCGCTCTGCCTATTCATTGCTTGTGGGAAGTGTCTATAGTGAATGCATAGTGGCCGTTCTGCTGAGCTCGATGCTCACACTTGGATGCACTAGCGCTGCACGTGATCTCGGCTAATCCGGTGAGCCGCCGTCCACAGCCCTGGAGTCATTTTGACCCTCTCGTCGCCGCCCAGTCACCGAACACCCAACGACCGCAACCTGTACGTATTCCGCCCGCTCCTACGACTGCACCTGCATCAAACGCGGAGCCTTGCGAAACCAAGACTTTCAACTCGCACCCAACACCCGAAACCCCAGAGGTACACCGCTAATCGGACTTTGCCACCACACAGACAACTTCGAACGACTCATCACACCCATTAACAACCGCCAATATGGGAAAGGTTCACGGATCCCTCGCTCGTGCCGGAAAGGTCAAGTCTCAAAGTAAGTCTTGGCTCATGTGGAACGATTGCGAATGTCTGCTAACAATGCATAGCCCCCAAGGTAAGCTTCATCCATCGATACACCCACGCCTCCAGCCGATAGCGACACGTCGAATCACGACCACAATCACGCGACGCCTGAGGAGAAGGATAGAATGAATTCGGATGTCATGTGGATGTGGACAGCCGACTGACACGCTACGCAGGTTGAGCCCCAGGAGAAGAAGAAGACCCCCAAGGGCCGCGCCAAGAAGAGGCTCACATACACCCGCCGTTTCGTGAACGTCACCATGACCGGTGGCAAGCGCAAGGTCAGTAGACATCGCGCATTTGTGTGATGGGCGAGAACTGACACGTCCCAGATGAACCCTAACCCAACCTCATAAGCCAAACACTAGAGGAAGGGCGAACGAAACGAGCACTATGAGCTAGAGAATACGGTCATGAATTCGGTTTCTTCAGGATGGCTATGACTCTGGATCAGAGGGAAGTGGGAATCACGGACGTCGCCACGGCACGTTCCTCAGCAGCAGCATGATCCCACACTTTGGGATGATGGGGGCATATTCATGGCGTACATGTACATTCTGCTTTTTGCACAGCTGCATCACGAATTCTAGCTGCTTGTGTTCCCAACTCTGGTCTTCTTGGATTGTGTGCCGTGTGTTGTTTCTTGTCGCGTTGGCTGACCCTCTATGCTTCACTCGACCCGATGCTGTGTCCATCCATTCAATCGCGTTTCAATCCCCATTGTGATTACATTATTTCACGTCTTCGAATTGGCACCATCATAGCATCTTGGTCGCATTCAAAAGCGGACAAGCCCGTCCAGCTTGTGAAAAATCCTTCATCAATAGCGAAGCACCCTCGGTAGGCCTGCCTTCATCCAGATCTATAGGCTAAGAGCTTTCTAAGCTCTGCATTATCTGTCTTTAGTCCAATCCTCGAGTGCTGCATCGTAGATCTCTTAAGATCATACTGCGGTGGGAACGGCAGGTCCAAGCGGCGATCTACGTCACACCCGAACCTCACTCCACTTGAGCTGTCAGAGCACCAACACCTCCATTTGCAGAGCATCAACAGTACGACACCAACAACAACAGCAAACATGTTCAAGCGATTCTTCGGAGAGGTAAGCCATTCTAGAATTGGTTCTCAGCATCACCTGCTAATACCATCCAGCACGGCGCAAAGAACGTCGTGACACTCTTCCACGCGCCTTCGAACCAAGCTTCCACTCGCGTCCTCACCCTCCTCAAACAAGCCAACGCACAATCCGTTGCGCACGCGACTGAAGACCAAGCCAGCTCCCACAAAGCTCAGGACAAGGCCGAGCGCACAGAGTTCGAGCTTGATGTCACAGAAGCCCCACCCACAACCGACCAGCTCAAGAACATATTGGACTACTTGGGCGGATCAGGCGCGGCAGGCAAGGTTATCAGCGGAGCAGAAAACGAGACTGATGCCATGAGAAGGTTGAAGGCGGACGGAGGCGCGTTCCAGAGACCGCTTGTCGTGGACTGGAATCAGGGAAAAGCTGGTATGTCCGCAAAGGAGAAGAGAGGCTACTCGTGCTAACCCTGACAGTCGCTGGAGAGAATGAGAGCGAGATCATGAAGCTGATACGGTCGGTACCGAAGGAGACGGAGAAGGTGTAGAGCGTGGAGAGATGCGATCTGTACTATACCCACTCCACTCAGCCTGTGATTCCGGATACTACATACTGGAAGTTACTATTGGCCTTCGAGATTGCTGGACCCGGTATGTCTCAAGGCTTCTCCGCTCAGTAGCTCGGGAAGAGACGTTTTGCCAGGCGGCCGGTAGCTGCGCCGCCGGTAAGACACTGATGCAAATCAATGCACATGCAAAAGAAATCCCAAGAAAAACTTCTTCCAACACTTCGTAAGGTGTAAGTGTCGTATTCTCTTACTGTTCGTTGCGTCCTTTTGCTTCACCATGTCGAAATTCTCTGTGACTACGTCTTTCTGTTTCTGTTCTTTTACAGTCACTCAATATCTTTACAAGTCACGCCAAAGCTATATAGTTGGGCCAATAGCATGAGCGGAAGAGCGGCGCGCGGAGATTTCGAGCGTTGGTTACTCACGCTCACCTCCTCTTTCTGGCGGCGCCAAGACTTGTTGCTCCTTCCACCTCAAGCAGCGACGAACTCTTGTTTATCGTGCACCCTCGCGCTTGCCACAAATCTCTCAAGTATTCTCAACCTCGCGTTCTCCATCGCAGTTGCTAGTTTCCAACGGCATTCGGCGCCGCTCAAGACCTTCCCCTGCTGCAAACACCACCTCTAGTTGTCCCACGCCTACTCACTTGCACCTCCCTCGTCAAGCGAGTAGTGAGTTCAGCTATGTCGGACACTGCCCAACCGCCGGGAACTCCGCCCGCTGCAGACACGCAAACCGCAACAACGGCAGACGAGCAGCCTGCGCCCCCCACCGATATGAACAGCACTGTCGTCGACCCAGTCAACCATGCAACTAGAGACCCCAAGTTCAGTCCGGGAGCCGGCCAGGCCTTCTTTTCTACCGAACTTGGTACCCGCGCTCCCCGTTCACTAGGTCCAATTCGTGCGCCCGTCATCGCACGTAGCGTCCAAGGTCCTGCGGCTGTGGTGCAAGCAGCGACTCATTGGCAAGTGAAATACAAGAATCAGTGAGTAAATTGCCGCGCCCTACTCGAGCCCTATGCTGACTCAACTAGGTGTCTCTGCATTCTACCCTCACAGGGGTGGACCGTGGAAGACCTGTGGGATGCCGAAGATGT